TGCTCGGCAGTTCCTAACCCTAACCCTAACCCTAACCCTAACCCTAACCCTAACCCTGACCCTAACCCTACCCCTACCCCTAACCCTTGTTTACTTGAAATAACGCTGAAAATTAAAAACTGCCGGGCATTTAGGAAATCGAAGACCGTGCCCGGCAGCCGTCAGATATATGCCGGCTGCCGGGCATATAGCCACTCTGTTTATTAAAGTCAAAACATAGGGAAAGATCGAAACTTTTGTGGAGCTTCGACTTGACCGATTTTTCAACTTGTGCGAGGTCGACTGTATACTATCCTACAGAGCATTTATGATATCTGATGCCTTCCCACTCTTCCCTGTTATTCTACCTTTCTGTTAACCTCAACACTCTCACCCGGCTCTTCCATGTCTATGGTTCCCTCTTTCGTCCTACACACGTAACACAGTACACTCTTGTGATCAAGCTTAATCACCATCTTTCTTCCCACACAGACTCTGCTGCATATATCTTTCACTGTTATGAGCTTCCACTCCCCTAGCCACAAGTTCCCTTCTCACTTAACACTACGTTGGCGAGAGGTGTAACAGTCGGAGTAACAGACGGTAACAGACGGAGTAACGACGTGTAACAGTCGGAGAGCCTGGTCGGTTTACCACTCCCCCTATCATTTTCCTTCTCCTTCCCCGATGTTACGTATGTTATGTAGCCTGCAGTGATACATCATGTACTACAACTTGCACGGTTGTATTGTCTTGAGACTTGACTGTCTATAGACTATTGTAACAACTGCCTTTGAAAATCTTTTTGTATAGGCCCCTACATTCAGTCATTCTGTCCAATTCCAAGCTGTGTCTCTCGATGCATAAATATCACATACCGCCATTGACATGGGTTCTCTGCCCATTTGATTCCGCGAGCATGGAATGGAGTTTAACTTTAAGTGTACTTCTACTGTCGTACTGTCACTACTGAAACTGAAAGCTTGTAGTGCCTAGATACAATAATGTCACCCAAACACAAGGGTAGCGCCACAGGCACTTGAAACGTCTTAATAAAAAAAAAAAAAGGTAAAGAAAGTACTAGTACTAGTACTAGTAGTACTACTACTAGGGGGCGCTACCCACAGGCACTTGGAACGTCTCAATAAAAAAAAAAGGTAAATAAACACGAAATGTACCAAAGTCTTAATGTTTCTCTACTCTATTTCGCCTAGCATAATCACCTGTAAATGCCGGTCAAATGCTCATCTGCAACACACAAGTACACCGAACGCCCGCCCGCGCTGTGCTGCGTGCACAAACAACATGAATAAGAGCTCTCTTATTCATGTTGTTTGTGCACGCAGCACAGCGCGGGCGGGCATTCGGTGTACTTGTGAAGTTGTGTGTTGCAGATGAGCATTTCACGGGCATTTACAGGTGATTATACTAGGCGAAATAGAGTAGAGAAACATTATTGTCATTAAGACTTTGGTACATTTCGTGTTTATTTACCTTTTTTTTATTGAGACGTTCCAAGTGCCTGTGGGTAGCGCCCCCTAGTAGTAGTACTAGTACTAGTAGTAGTTGTTGTTGTTATTCGTTTATCCTCCTACTTCACGAGGTCATGGTCACAATGTAAACCCTCTTTGTATCGTTAGCTACCCCTGTAGTAGTACCCCTGTGTTTGGGTTACATTATTGTAAGGCCGTATGCGAAATGGCTTTGTTCATTGACTTACCATAGCTAACAATTACTTTTTTCATAATTAATTTTAATATAGACTAGTAATGAATCAATATCACTGGTATAATTTAAACATGAACATGCGTAACGTGTCTCAAGAGCGATAAGACCACATAACATTACAGTGTATTTGTTTTAAATTGAATTTTCTGCCATATTGGCAACACTGCAACAATAGAGAACCTGGCGGTGGAAGACAGAAACTAAAGTTCCCGCGCCGGTCCTACTAAACAGCGAAATGTGCTACTAAACAGCGAAATGTGCAGGAATGTGCGCTGAATGTGCAAGAATGTGCAAGAATGTCCGCGAAATGTGCAGGAATGTGCAAGAATGTGCGCGAAATGTGCAGGAATGTGCAAGAATGTGCGCGAAATGTGCAGGAATGTACTAAACAGCCAAAATGTGCTACTAAACAGCGAATGTGCTAACTGAACAGCGGAATGTGCTACTGAACAGCGAATGCTGCGTGAATGGGTCAGAATGTGGCCACTGTGCATCAATCTAACTGCGCAATGTATCAAAATGTGTAAAAAAAGTTATACTAACAGCGAAATGTGCTAGCTAAAGCAGCGAATGTGGTAAGAATGTGGCGCAAGTGTGGCATCAATAACTGCCGCAATGTATCATAAATGTTAAAAAATGTTATATCTGAAACAGCGGAATGTGCGCGGAATGTGTAAGAATTGGCGCCTAAATGTGCATCAAATAACTGCGATCCGCAAGTATCAAAATGTGAAAAAATTGTTATACTGAAACAGCGAATGTGCTACAAACAGCGAAATGTCTAGCTAACAGCGGAATGTGTAAGAATGCGGCCCAATGTGCATCCAATAACTGCCCGCAATGTAATATATACAACTATCAGGTGCACGAGCGAGTAGAGAAATATTCAACCTCCATCAATACTCAAAGCGTGTATCTATTCACCCCTTGTGCATTATTTTATTTATTATAAGATTATTATTATTATTTATTTATAAGATTATTTTCGTAAGATCATTTTCGTATGCGTGCGTGCGTGCGTGCGTGCGTGCCTGCGTACGTGCGTGCATGTTTGTGTGTGTGTACGCGCGCGTGTGTGTGTTTGTTTGTTTGTTTGTTTGCGTGTGTGTGTGTGTGTGTGCGCGCGCGCGTGTGTGTGTGTTTGTGTGTGTGTAAACTCGATCTACAGCTGCCATCGATATACAGCTGCCATCGGCCGTCCCACGTTTAGTGAGCTAGTATGTTGTAGTATTGTTGTGCCGTGCGTGCGGCGTGCGTGCGTGCATGTGCACGTACAGTGCGGCAATGCGGCGGTTAACCTACACGTGCGTGCATGCGTGCGTGTGTACGTGTGCAGGTGCGTGCGTGCGTGTGCAAGTACACGTGCGTGCGTGCGTGCGTCCGTGTGTGGCGTGCTTGTGCAGTAGGTACACTGTGTTATCTTATGATCTCTGTGATTCTTCGAGTTTATTGAAGAGGCGCGAGTGGTTTTAAATAATTATAGCAAGTATCTCGGCGCCGTAAACAGTAATAAACTCCGCGATAAGATAATAAACATAATTTTAAGAAACATGTTTAGGCTAAAATTTCCGAATTTAGACGCCTTTACAAAGAACCTGTTTTAGGCTTAAATTTAAAGTAGGTTCTACATTTTCATCAGATGAAGACTACAAAGAAACACAGGTAAAATAAAAAAGACCGAGCTCAATCAATATCGATTGCAATAAACAATGCAATGGCTAATGCCAATGCCAACAATAAGCAATCATATCTATTAATAAGATAATATTATATAATATCATATAATATATCATATAATATTATCCTCAACCATAAAAAAACAAACCTGTGCAACAAACTAAACCTCATATAACACGACTTACACCTAACAACTACTGTACTGTAACTACTATGCATCACAGTCACTAAGCCGCGCCGTAGCGCGGGTTTCAGCTGTACACATTAAAAGTAGAAACAATTAAGAACCTATTTAAGAACCTTTTGAAGCCTAATTTTCAGTAAGCACCAATTTTATATTAAGAACATGTTGAGGCTAACTTGGAAAAATCTAATGTTCTTATACGCGGTTTTTATGTATCGGCATAGCTAATATACCCAGTGGAGGCCTATGTCGGTAAGAAGTTAAATTTAAAACAATCATATGGCGCGAACGATTTGAGTAACATTTCTAAAATTAGATACACATAGAGCACATGTCCTAGCTATAAAATCTCTTGTGATTTTTGAGTATTGAAGGCAGCGATAAGTCTAATTAAGTTACTAGCGGACCATTGTCACGCGAATCCATACAGCGCTGTACTTGAGCGCAGCGGGTGGAACCATTTGGAAAACAACGATGGCGTCCAGCGATCACATGACCGTTTGTTCCGACTTCGGTCATGTCTGCAACTCTTGTACAGCCCCTAGGAGCCCCCAGGGACCTAGCACACCGCAACCACGGGAATTATTCTGGGCAGTGGCCTTTCACGTTACCCGGGACCAGGCGCGCCGGAAGCCAGTTTTGGATTGGGGGGGGGCAAAGACCTAAGGGGCTCACGATTTTTTTATCGTGTGTGCGTGAGCGCGGTGTGCGTGAAGCGCATGTGTGCTGAGGCGCGTGTGTGTGATTTTGTGTGTGCGTGAGCACGTGTGTGACCGTGAGCGCGTGTATGCGACGTTTTGCGAGCGCGTGTGTGCGACATGTGTTCGTGAGCGCGTGTATGGCGACGTGTGGTGGCGTTGACGCGGTTGCGACATTTGTGCGTGTTGCGACGTGTGTGCTTTGAGCGCGTGTGTGTGTGTCGTGTGTGCGTGAGCGCGCGTGTGTGACGTGTGTACGTGAGCGCGTGTGTGCGGCGTGTGTACGACGTGGAAGTTGATGCGTGAGCGCGCATGTGCGTGAGCGCGTGTGTGCGTGAAGTGTGATGTGTGTGTGTTGAGGCGCGTGTGTGTACGTGTGTACGTGAGCGCGTTGTGTGCGGCGTGTGTAACGTGGAGTTGATGCGTGAGCAGCGCAATGTGCGTGAGCGCGTGTGTGCGTGAGTGTGATGTGTGTGTGTGAGCGCGTGTGTGTGACGTGTCAATGAAATTGTCAATGAAATCTTGTAAACGAACCGACGAGTGTGAACAGCCCGACAGCTGTTTGTTTCTGGCGTGTCTATATAAATATGCTATATAATTGCCAAACCCTAGCTAATCTTGCATAATTTTTTTTTAAATACACCACCCGCTAGCCTTTATTCATATCAACATATCAAAAATGAGCGCAAAATCGCGGTTGAGCCTCAACTGACAATGGCAATTCTCCATTTTGGCAGAAAAAATTGCCGTGCTCGAAAGTACGTGAAATTGATGGCCGTGTTCCAAATAGGACGTTAATCCTGCGAGCAAGGCAGTAAACAACTATGCCAAATTCAAAAACATGTGGGTGCGAACGGTTTCCTGAGTTACTCGTTGACGCGTAGCCAAATGTTGGATGGACGGACGGACGACGACCCATGGCAATAGCTCAGCTTGACGAATGTCAAGGTGAGCTAAAAATAGCAATGAAACAAATGCGTAAACTTCTATTTATTTTAGAGACAGCAGGGAATAAACTTATCATAATTTTTTATATTTCTTATCTATGAAAACATCAAATTTGAGTGCCATTTGATAATAAACCATTGATTAAATGACCATTGACAATAAAAAATATATGTGTAACTACCGTTTCATGTGTAAATGGTATTTCAGCTGGCAGTGTATGGACATATTTTGCACTCAAAATACTAATAACTGAAATAGTATGCATTCAAACATGGTTATGTTAAACAGTTTATTAATGAATGTCAATTAATTATTGAATGTTAGTTGCTAAAGTGATCACCGTCACGAAATTTCTAGCAACCATCAGTAGTATATTTGTGTGTGATTTTGTACAAAATAAAATGTATGAAAAAACTTTAGTTTTCTGTTACCTTTTCATGCTTCTATACCTTCTTATATGGCCCTAATTTGGCCGGTGAAAACCGAGAGACGCCAGTATCTGAACAGGTACCTGAGGGAATAGTGTTTGCTGAAGGGGTCGTTGTCGTATCAGGTTACTACAATATGTACCCGAGGTACGTATATGTATACACAAGTGTAGCCAGACCTGTATCTT